TTTTTTTATAATACCCAACACAGTTGTTCCACCCCGGTAGCATTTTAAAGATGAGTGGCTTTCCCCCCCAAGAATCCTCCACACAGCCAGGCTGGCTGGGGAATTCTGGGAGTTGAAGTCCACTCATCTTAAAGTTGCTACGGTTGGAAAAAACTGCTATAGACTATAGTAATAGTAAAGAGGAAATGTTGTAATAATAGAATATTTATACTATTTAATATAGAGGAAATATTGTAATAGTAATTGTATAGTAGTATAATAGAGTTTAGTCATTGTTATAGTACTGTAATAGTAATTAGCATAGTAATAGAGAAATAATAGCAATGGAATATAGGATAGAGACAATAGAAAGCACTCACAAATAGATTTGTAAGTTTCACACTTTATGTTTATATCTTGTTTTTTTCAAAATAAAACATCTCCCCAATCCTTATAGGGAGATATAAAAAAAACTACCAGTCCAGGGTCCAGCAGTTTCGTGGCTCTCTTGAATCTGGAGTCAATCTAATTAGATATAGTTTAAAAAAAGGAACCCGTGACAAAGCCTGCAAAATCAGAGCTTCTTAGTTCCTATCATTTAGGGATGATGATGATATGAGAATGTAGAATTCCACTTAGCCATGCAGGTTAACAAACATGTCTACTGTCTAAGAAAATATGAAGAACATTCCTGGATGGGCCCATCTTCCACCTGAGACAGCTGGCTCCTTGTGGGAAGCACACAAAAAATATTATTTTGAACATGTTTGATATTTAAATATTCCTTGTAGGAATAGTGTAGTGAACAGCAATGTCCCAAGCATGCCTGTCATTAGCATGACAGTTGCCCTGGTAAGGGAAAGGTACACCTGTTGAATTTCTGTCTTCCAGGCATTCCTTGAAAGTTAAGCAGGCAAATCAAGAGGTAAAAAAGGAAACAAATGAGGGCAGCATGGCTGATAGTGAACTCAGTAAAATGCTGATGCATTGCAAAAGCAACCCAGTTTTCCTTCTCAATTTTCATGAAAAGCATCTTCAAAAAGAGAATGATAGTAAGAAGTTGGGTTCGGAGTGAGGAAAGCATGTATTTAAGGGGTTCAGAAAGACCTGTCTGTTTGAACTTCCTAAAACATTACAAAAAGGGATGCCCCCCCACCTCCAAGAATATAACCTTCAAAAACAATACAAATATTTTACTCAGAATACTAATTACAAAATTCTGGATATGGGGCACAGCAGTGTTTTTATGAGCAATTGTTGAGCAGGTAGGAATTATTATTGGAATTTGTAAGGCTGCCCAACTCATAACTGATGGTGTACATCAATCAAAAAGCAATCAGAATCAACAAAAAATATTAAATAAAAAATTACCGCCTTGGCCCAGCACAAGCATCTTCACAGGTCTACAAAAGGAAATAGAAGATCCCCAAATAAGCCGTCCATATAGGGCAGTGTCTCTCAACCTTAGCGACTTTAAGATGTGTGGACTTCAACTCCCAAAATTTGTAAATTACAATTGTAAATTATACCAGTAAAATACTGGTGTAAATAAATAGGCACTATGTTTTGAAGATCATTCCACATCACTCCAATAGGTTTTGGAGGTCATTCCAAAGAGTAGGCACCAGAGAGAAGATCTACTTGATAGTAACTGCTAGATGACAGAGTATAAATATAGGGTCACAGAGCTGAACCTCTTCTGATGGTCTTAGCTTGGGGTCTCCAACATGTGCTTCCAGTGAAGAACTCCTTGAAGCTCTTGGGGTTGTGCCCCACTTGGCTACACTCCCCTGCTAGCCCTTTTCTGTGAGCAAAAGATACCCTCCTGCCACGCAGAAAATAACCTGCTCTTAGAATTCCAAACCGGCCCAGCAACCAAAAAGTGGGGAGACTACTGCTGTTAGCAACAGCTCGGATCCATGTGGAGCAAGGCAATTTGCCTAGTATTTTGAGCCCAGGTTGTTAAGCCTCATATTCCAGTAGGGAAATGTGAATCAGGCTCAAATGTGGATCAGTAGCTACCAGCCAGCCAGTAAAATTGCGTTAGGAAAGGGTCGAATATAGCAATGTCCACAAGAGGTTAAAAAAGTCAAGATAGTGGACATGACTGTGCATTTGCTGGGAGTTGGATGGTATATACATTTAATAAATTATTATTACTATATGTAATTATTATTATGGCTGGTTGCACAGTCAGCCAGATATTTAGACTGGATTTGGCATTTTTACCACCTATCAAGTCCTCCTCGAGCACCTGGGAGAGGCAGATGTTGTTTGATGGTGTCAATATTATTATTATTATTATTATTATTATTATTATTATTATTATTACTATCCGAAGCCCCATGTCTCCCCTGAGCTTCTTTTTCTTTTGCAGACGGCCTGGAGTCTCGACGGTCGCTCGCCCATGAGTGTCTTGGAGAAGCCTTACGGATTCTTCGGCAAGTCATTAGCAAGTACCCGCTGCTCAACACCTTGGAGACCTTGACAGCAGCAGGGACCCTCATCTCCAGGGTCAAAGGTCAGTGAGTGGATGTGCTCCAGTTCTTACCAGGGGCTATTGGTCGGTCCTGATTGGATGCCAAGATGAGCCCTCTAGGAAGGTGGTAGACATGCCTCTTTAAAATATGACTGGTAAGAATGTTTAGAGTAGTGTTTTTCAACCTTGGCAACTTTAAGGTGTGTGGAGCTTTACACCCCCCAAATTCCCCCCCCCCAGGCCGGCGTCGGGGAAAGCGTGGGGG